CCTCGCTCTGTTGACCTCGCCCTCCGACTCCCTCGCTCTGTTGACCTCGCCCTCCGACTCCCTCGCTCTGTTGACCTCGCCCTCCGACTCCCTCGCTCTAGTTGACCTCGCCCTCCGACTCCCTCGCTCTGTTGACCTCGCCCTCCGACTCCCTCGCTCTGTTGCTCTTGCCCCTCCAGCTTTTTTGCTCTGTTTCCCTTCACCTCAGGTTTCCTCACTCTGTTGCCCTCGCCTCCAACTCCCTCGCTCTGTTGCCTTCGCCCTCCGACTCCCTTGCTCTGTTGCCCTCGCCCTCAGGCTTCCTCCATCTGTTTTCCCTTGCCCTTCAGGTTCACTGCTCTGTTGCCCTTTGGCTTCCTTGCTCTGTTGTCCTTGCCCTCTGGCCTCCCCTATCTATTCTCCTTGGCCCTCCGCCCTTCATGCTTGGTGGCCTTCAGCCACCAACCTGACCAATTTGTTTGGCCACGCTCTCCGTCTTCCTTGCTCTGTTGGCCTTTCTTTCCAGGCCCCCCTGCTCTGCTGTTTTTACCCTCTGGCCTCCCTTCTCTGCTGTTGTCACCCTCTGGCCTCCCTGTTCTGCTGCCCTCATCCTCTGGCCTCCATGCACTGCTGCTTTCATCCTCTGGCCTCCTTGCTCTGATTTTGTCACCCTCTGGCCTCCCTGCTCTGCTGCCCTCATTGTCTGGCCTCCCTGCTCTGCTGCCCTCACCCTCTGCCCTCCCTGCTCTGCTGCCCTCACCCTCTGCCCTCCCTGCTCTGCTGCCCTCACCCTCTGCCCTCCCTGCTCTGCTGCCCTCACCCTCTGCCCTCCCTGCTCTGCTGCCCTCACCCTCTGCCCTCCCTGCTCTGCTGCCCTCATCCCTCTGCCCTCCCTGCTCTGCTGCCCTTACCCTCTGCCTCCCTGCTCTGCTGCCCTCTCACCCTCTGCCCTCCCTGCTCTGCTGCCCTCACCCTCTGCCCTCCCTGCTCTGCTGCCCTCACCCTCTGGCCTCCCTGCTCTGCTGCCCTCATCCTCTGGCCTCCCTGCACTGCTGCTTTCACCCTCTGGCCTCCCTGCTCTGCTTCCCTCACCCTCTGGCCTCTCCCTGCTCTGCTGTTTTCACCCTCTGGTCTCCCTGCTCTGCTGCCCTCACCCTCTGTCTCCCTGCTCTGCCGCCCTCACCCTCTGGTCTCCCTGCTCTGCTGCCCTCACCCTCTGGCCTCCCTGCTCTGCTGCCCTCACCCTCTGGCCTCCCTCTCTGCTGCCCTCCCTGCTCTGCCTCCCTGCACTGCTGCTTTCACCCTCTGGCCTCCTGCTCTGCTGCCCCCTCACTCTCTGGCCTCCCTGCTCTGCGCCCTCACCCTCTGGCCTCCCTTCTCTGCTGTTTTCACCCTCTGGCCTCCCTGCTCTGCTGCCCTCACCCTCTGGCCTCCCTTCTCTGCTGCCCTCACCCTCTGGTCTCCCTGCTTCTGCTGCCCTCACCCTCTGGCCTCCCTGCTCTGCTTCTCTCATCCTGCTGCTCTCGCCCCCCAGCCTCCCTGCCCTCAGAGAAGCGTCTCTTGTGTCTTTCTGTACACATTGATGCTGGTTTATAATTGTGTCTGTCCTTTCGCAGGAGTCCTGATCGGAGAGGATCTTCCAGCTGATCCCGGGTCAAGCTCTCGCGGTGAGTCAGAGCAGCCATCACATACTGGGTCGCTGGGGTCCTGGATCAGTTCTAATGAACCAGTTGTTATATATTTCCTTGCGGAGTCTCAGGCGGCTGTTCTAAGTGAACATAACCAAGTCTCCAGTGTGCACTCCCATGTACCATACACAGCCATGGATGCTCTCTCATCTACCTTACATAGCTTTGTGCCCACCCTGGCCCTTACGGTGCTCTGTGTGTACACGTTTGCACAGTGCACGGGATTTTCACACCGTGCCATGACAGTCCTGTACAGTTGGAGAAGAGAACATTCTGTAGTGTATCTCATGTCACATCCTGGGTGTGTGATATTTGATGAATGAGTTCACTGTGTATCCACTGCCCCTCCCCCACTTTGTTCTGTCTGTCGGATCGATTGATCAGAGTTCCTCTACTGACAGATCAATACTCAGCCTGTGGCTCCACGTACTGCGTGTTCTGAGTGCCATGTCTATACTGTGTGCCCTGTACTCAATATCCTGACACCCTCTGCCTCCACAGAATCGCTTTTCGTGGATCCAGAATGAGCAGCATTGCCCCTTCCAAGAAGCCGTACCGCAAGGCTCCTCCACAGCACCGAGAGAGCCGCCATGACCCACCTGCAGCGCGGGGGGAGGAGTCTCCAGAGCAGCCAAGTAAGGTAACTGCACTTCGGGGCCCTATTTACCAGAGAACTTGTTTCAATAGAGCTGTGGCTGTGGAGTTAAAGGAGGCTGAAGGCTCAGATGTTGGTAATCTTAGCTGTTCCTCCTCCTGGTCTCTAGCGTCCAGCAATGATAAGGACGCTGACTGGGTGGGTACGCGAGGGGTCAGATCACAGACTTTGCTCCGCAGGGTGAAATCCCTCCGTAGTCGTGGAAAACATAGCCGAGCTCCACGGTTCAGGGGGTTGCGACGGTTCCTGAGCCGCAGCGAGGAGAACGTTGCCGTATCGGAAGAAGGGAAACAACACGAGGGCAAAAGCCGGAGCCTGGAGCGCAGCCTGGTCTTCAAAGAGCCAGCAGAAGTCCTGGCACCCAAAAAAACCCGCCAATCAGCCAACTCTCAGCCTCTAAAAAGTATCCTGAAACACCCAGGCACCCTTAACATCAGCAACAAACCAGGCCAGGTCCGATGTGAGTTACCGCGATCTCCCCTTGCTTTGTCACCGTCTCAAGGGGATGCAGGGAGAGGAGGATCGCCATCACCAGACAAAAAGAGCCAGCAGGACAAAGCAAACTTTTCCAGGTTCCTGGACGAGATCACCTCTAGGGTACTGAGCCCAACAAACCTGAAGGCTGGCAAGCGGAGAGGAGTCAGCGCCAGCTCTGATGATGAAAGCCCGGGTTCTATTAGAAGATCACCTGGGAAAAGCACCAGAGCTGCGACAGAGGACGGACCTGAGAAGAGTTTAGAAAGGGCAGGGAGACGGAGATCCATTTCTCCTGCTCATCAGAGGGGCCAGAAAAGGTCACCCGATACCAGGGAGAGAACAAAGTGCAGGCTAGCCGATTCCGACCATCCAGGGTCCTCATTTTCTGGACACACTTCCACGGAGTCAGAACCCAAAGAGGGGTATAGAGGGAAATCGGCCACCCAACAAAGCAAGGAGCGTTCCCAGACTCCATCGGAGCTCGGCTACCTGGATACAGAGTCCCTCTCATCTGTGTCTCACTGGAGCCCTGAGGGGAAAAGCCCCTCACCCCGTGCATCGCCTTCACCTAATACCACCCGAAACAAGGTTAGTGTGCCTTGATGTCACCTTCATGTCCCGTTCCATGGATGTGGCCCTGAATTTCACCAGTCGATTTACCTTTTATTCATTAATAGGGTCAAACCATCAAATATGTAACCATCACACACCACATTGTTTTATGTGTTTCTTCATCTGCTCCCCATCATCGGTCTATTTGTGCCACCTTTCCCTGTCCTTCATCTTCAGCCTCTCCATACTTTCTGTCCCCCATCCCTGTCCTCTGCCCCCTATCTTCAGCTTTCCCTTTACTGTCCTCCATCCCTAGCCTCTACACCCATCTTCTTCCACTTTCTCTTTGCTGTCCATCTCCTATCATCAGTTGTCTCTTTCCTGTCCTCCATCCCTAGCCTCTAACCGCCATCTTCTAATCTCTTTCCTCTCCTCATCCCTGGTTTCTATACCCCACCCTCCATTCCTTTCCTCACCCCCATCCCCCCATCTTGAATTTCCTCTTTCTTGTCACCCATCCCTGGTCTCTACTGCCCCTCTGACATCCTCTTTTTCCTGTGTTCTATCACAAGCCTCTACTCGCCATCCTCCTATTCCTGTCCTGAATCCCTGGTCTCTACTCCCATCTCCATCCTTTCTTTCCTGTCCACCATACTTGGCCTCTACACCCCACCTCCCATTGTCCCTTTCCTGTCCTCCACACCCCATCTTCCATCCTCTTTATCTTTTCCTCCATCACAAGCCTCTTCTCCATCTTCCATCCTCTCTTTCCTGTCCTCAATCTCTGGCCTCTACTCCCATCTTCATCCTCTTTCCTATCCTCAATCCCTGGTTTTTACTCCCTTTATCCTCTTTCCTGTCCCCAGTCCCTGGGTTTTACTCCTATCTTCATCCACTTTCCTGTCCCCAGTCCCTGGTTTTTACTCCCATCTTCATCCTCTTACCTGTCCTCAATGCCTGGCCTCTACACCCCATCTTCAATCCTCTTTCCTATCCTCAATCCCTGGCCTTTACTCCCATCTTCATCCTTTTCCTATCCTCAATCCCTGCTTTTTACTCCCATCTTCATACTCTTTTCTGTCCACCATACCTGGCCTCTACATCCCATCTTCCTTTGTCCCTTTCCTCTCTACCATACCTGGCCTCTACACGCCATCCCATCTTCAATACTTTCTTTCCTGTCCTCCCCTCTGACCTCTGTCTAAAGTCTTTTCATCTTCTGTTGTCTCCTCAGTACCTTTTCTCTCACCCCCATTAGCAATCTGCCATACATTTCATGCTGTAACCTCCACCTTTCTCCTCTGTGACCATTTTCTTTTTCTGTGGTCTCCTGACCCTTGAACCATTGTCTTCCTCCAGTAGAGCCCCTCAGATCCCTGAAGACACTGATAGAATCTGCCCTTTTCTATTCTGCCTCTTTCCAGTATTGGTGATCCTGGCATTCATCTGACTGCTAATTATATCAGTGACACTTGCCGTGTGTGAAGATGTTCATCACCTAATCATTGGGAGTTATTTACCAAAACTGGAGAGTTCAGATCTGGTGCAGCTCTGAATGCAAACCAATCAGATTTCAGGTTTTATTGCCATTCATAAACAGCGCCCGCCATTTTGGATTGTGCGCGCTCCCTGGGAGCCGCGAACACCGATCGCTGTACGGGACCTCTGTGTGAGGTCCCGATCATGTGATCACTGATTGGCCAATCGGTGATCACAGGTCTGATCATGTGAATCACCTGATCAAGAGTAGTAAGCAAGATGTCACTTCTGACATCATTGCTTACTACGTGGGAAATCTGTGAATGATCACAGAGGTCACATGGTACAAGGCTATTCACAACAGCCCTGTACCATGTGACAAGCTGTGACCAATCACAGCTCACACGGTATTTCTCAATGGCTGCAAGAATGCAGCCAGAGAGAAGGAGAAATGATTGCTTTTACAGCCTATATGGGTGTAAAAGCAATCGGTGTGAAAAAAATAAATCATCACCCCCCCTCAAGTATGGTGACACTGTACTGCTAGGGTGACAGTATGTAAAAAAAACCCCAACCCATAATTAATAATATAAAAATTTAAAAACAAATTTGTAAAAAATTATAATTTTTGGTTATAAACTAATTTTGGGTTATTTTTGTTTACTAAAAAGATAACTGAATACATTTTGGCCAAGATTTATGAAGAAAGATTATTATTTATTTGCAAAATTTTATAAGAAAAACACTTTTTTTTCAAAATTTTTGTACATTTTCATTTATATAGCAAAAAAAAAGTAAAAATCCCAGCGGTGAATAAATACCACCAAAATAAAGTTTTATCTGTTTAAAAAAAAAAAAATGCTAAAAAATGCATATGGGTGCAGTGTTGCATGACTCAAAGTTCAAAGTGCTATGGCACTGAAAGCTGAAAATTGCCTGGACAGGAAGGGGGGGAAAGTGTCCGGACTGGAAGGGGGGGAAAGTGTCCGGACTGGAAGGGGGGGGGAAAGTGTCCGGACTGGAAGGGGGGGAAAGTGTCCGGACTGGAAGGGGGGGGGAAAGTGTCCGGACTGGAAAGGGGGGGAAAGTGTCCGGACTGGAAGGGGGGGAAAGCGTCCGCACTGGAAGGGGGGGAAAGTGTCCGGACTGGAAGGGGGTGAAAGTGTCCCAACAGGAAGGGGGGGGAAAGTGTCCGGACTGGAAGGGGGGGGAAAGTGTCCGGACTGGAAGGGGGGGGGAAAGTGTCCGGACTGGAAGGGGGGGAAAGTGTCCGGACTGGAAGGGGGGGGAAAGTGTTCGGACTGGAAGGGGGGGAAAGCGTCCGGACTGGAAGGGGGTGAAAGCGTCCGGACTGGAAGGGGAGGGAAAGCGTCCGGACTGGAAGGGGGGGAAAGCGTCCGGACTGGAAGGGGGGGAAAGCGTCCGGACTGGAAGGGGGGGGGAAAGCGTCCGGACTGGAAGGGGGGGAAAGCGTCCGGACTGGAAGGGGGGGAAAGCGTCCGGACTGGAACGGGGGTGAAAGCGTCCGGACTGGAAGGGGGTGAAAGCGTCCGGACTGGAAGGGGGGGTGAAAGCGTCCGGACTGGAAGGGGGTGAAAAGCGTCCGGACTGGAAGGGGGGGTGAAGCGTCCGGACTGGAAGGGGTGAAAGTGCTCTGATTGCCATTTTCCTTGGTAGACCTACTAAGGCCGACAGAGGTTCCAGACACATTAGGACCAATATCAGAGAAGTGGGAGAGTGTTGGTGACCACCAGTGTCATACTGTGCTTCTCATACAGCCTCGGGGGAGTTCTTAAAATAGTTTTCCTTTTTTTTTTTTTTTTTACCGTCCCCTCAACAGTTTGGAATGGCCAAATGTCAGTAAATTGTGTAGCAATGCTCATATGTGTGACGTCTCTGGTATTCTCCTGGTAATGGGATTATGCATCCATCAGGGGCGGACTGACAACTCATGGGGCCCCCGGGCAATAGGGGATTATGGGGCCTTTGTGTCCTTGCCCAAGCTCAAACCTATGAAAAAGGTACCAGGGGCATCTCATGGGGCCCCCTACTGACCCCGGGCCCTCGGGCCGTGCCCGAGTTTCCAAATGGTCAGTCTGCCCCTGGCAGCCATGAATATCAATCGCCACATTTTGGATATTGCAGCAATCTGCACACATTGAGAAGAGTTTGGGGTATGTTTCCTGGACTAGACTGGTCGACTTTATATTTTGTTCATGGCGAAAACCCATGACCTATAAATGTGAGGATGCATTTCCCCGGTGAGAGCTCAATGCCAGATATGGTCCATGGATAGCTGAGATGAGTGAAGATGCCAATGTCCACACAGCCGTAGTGACAGGTGGCCGATTGACAGCCACGGGGGGGTCACTCATAGCTGCACCGCAAATGTCAATCCAATATGGAAGTACTGATAATATATATAAATATTATCGATCTCTGCAAATACGAGAACATTTCAATCATTGCGGATAGTTTGCGTCTATAGTGAAGCTTAATGTGTACTAAGTGACCAAGTTATATAAACCCGGAATGATATAATGTGATGGTTGTAAGGGGTACATGGTATTTGGGGTGGGGGGGGAGCTTGAGAGTGTGGCAGAAATGGGTGTATTGTATAGGGGACATGGAGTAATGGAAGTGTAGTGAGGAGGGGATAAGTAGAAAGGGCGATTGGGGTTGGGAGGGGTACACGGGGTGATGGAAGTTTGGAGGTGGGGAGGAGATGGTATGGGGAGGAGGTGTATGTAGTACACTGGGCTGGTGGAAGAAGTGGAGCAGGATGGGGTACGCAAAGCCATTGATGGAAGGGGGAGACACATAGTATGCGGTATGTATGACGATAGTGTGAGGGGGACATTTACAAGCTACATGAGGGTGATGATGAGACTGTGGGGGAGGGTACATGGGGCCAGTGACAGGACTGTGGCAGTGAATGGGCATGGGGGGCTGGTTGTGGGGAGTGGTACATGGAAACAGTGATGGGACTGTAAGGGGAGAGGGGTACATGGAGCCAGGATTGTGGCGGGAAGGGGTAGGTTGGCCCAATGAGGCAGGGAGGGGTACATGGGATCAGTGATGGGTCTGTGGTGGGAAGCGCTATGGGTGGCCAATGACAGGATGGTGGCAGGGAGGGGGTATGTGGAACCAGTGATAGTACTGTTGTGGGGAGGGGTACATGGGATCACTGATGGGACTGTTGTGGGGAGGGGTACATGGGGGGGCCACTAACAGGACTGTAGCATGGAGAGGGGTACATTGTGCCATTGATGGGACTGTTGTTGTAAGGAAGTGTTTACTTTGGGCCAGTGATGGGACTGTGGCAGGGAGGGGGGTACATGGGGCCAGGAGAGGACTGTGGTGTTAAGGGGTAGGTTGGGCCAGTGACAAGATCATTGCAGGTAGGGGTACTTGGGATCAGTGATGGGACTGTGGTGGGGAGGGGTATGTGGGGCCAGTTACAGGATTGTTGTGGAGAGGGTTAGTTTGGGCCAGTAGTGGGAAGCGGAATGTGGGCCACTAACAGGACTGTAGCAGGGGAGGGGTACATTAACTCAGTGATAGAACTGCTCTGAGGAGGGGAATGTGGGGCCAACGACAGGACTGTAGCAGGGAGGAATATATTGGGCCAATGATAGGACTGCTGTGGGGAGGGGATATAGGACCAGTGACAGGACTGTAGCAGGAAGGGGTATATTGGGCCAGTGATGGGACTGTAGCAGGGAGGGGTATATTGGACCAATGATGGGACTGTAGCAGGGAGGGGTATATTGGACCAATGATGGGACTGTAGCAGGGAGGGGTATATTGGGCCAGTGATGGGACTGTAGCAGGGAGGGGTATATTGGGCCAATGATGGGACTCTAGCAGGGAGGGGTATATTGGGCCAGTGATGGGACTGTAGCAGGGAGGGGGGGACTGTAGCAGGGAGGGGTATACTGGGCCAGTGATGGGACTATATTGGGCCAATGATGGGGAGGGGTGGGGAGGGGGGGTACATAGCACATAGGGATGATGGTAAAATGTTAGCAGTTACTGACCCTCTTCCATTTTAATTTCAGGAGCCATCGGCAGAAGGAGACAGAGTCGGGTAAGTGTTTCCGCTGTCGCCCGATTCTCCATCATTCAGGGCCTCCTACACACTGCTCTCTTTATTATCAGTTCTTACCCACAAAACCCACCCAGGTGCCTGTAGTCAAAGGGTTGTAGGTTGCTTTCTGAAGGGTACTACCCTCTGTCTTGTTACGCCATCCCAGCAGACCGTTCATTTGAGTGTCTTCCAGAAAGCAGGCAGGACCTCTGCTGAACAACTGCTGAGATAAAATCTGTAACAGGATAAGCCACTGGCAGATTTTGAATGAGAGAGGACGGGTACATCACAGGAAGCAGAGCCCGCCTCTATAATAAGCAGATGTGACCCCCATACAGATCTCTGTACACAGACCAGCACAGTTATTACAGCAGTGGCCTTAGAAATGGTTGCTTTTCCCTTTTGTCAATCAGAAGGAATCCCCGCGTTGTCACCCCCATCCAAAGCCATATTACGTCCTGCTATTCACGGTGAAGCGTCAGCTCATCTCTCTTCTGCAATCTGAATGGAGGGGGTCACATGACTCCCAACGCAATCTGCAGAGAAATGAATCTAGGCCAGAGGGGGGGACTCCACAGAGAGGGACAAGGGGGGGTAACTGGTCTCCATAGTAAGGTGCTCGGGGGAGCAATCAATGATGAAGCTGGTCAGCTCTGTTGGAAGGATTAGATGAGGCAGCGTCGCTGTGATAACCGCATGCTCTGTGGTCCTTTCTGTGACCTCATTCAGTCAAGCAAACTGCCGTAACCCATAGCGACCAATCCTCAGTCTAATAATCAGGTGACCCCATTGCCGGTTATAATCCCAAACGACTTTAGAGGGAATGATTCTCGGGAGGGGGCATTATTCTATGATCTCGACCAGGGGCGGACTGACCATTTGGAAACACGGGCACTGACTAGTTAGGCTAGAAATCTACTTTATTGGATAAAAAAATTAAATTCTGATTGGTGGCCTTTTTTTTTTAAACGTACCACATTTTTAACAGGATCTGCCACATTTTTAGGGGTTTTTAACGCCAAACGCTGGTAGGGCGGATTCCTGATCATGTGATCTACGGTCACAGTGATCGCAAGATCTGGAACAGAGGCGGACTGACCATTTGAAAACCCGGGCACTGCCCGAGGGCCCGGGGTCAGTAGGGGGCCCCATGAGATGCCCCTGGTACCTTTTTCATAGGCTTTTTTGAGTTTGGGCAAGGACACAAGGGCCCCATAATCCCCTATTGCCCGGGGGCCCCATGAGTTGTCAGTCTGCCCCTGATCTTGACTGAAATTATTTTATTTATTTCAGGTACTTTATATAGCGCCGTCAATTTACACAGCACTTTACGGTATATTATTGTACATTCACATCAGTCCCTAAGTCAAG